ACCCCTCTCTCACCCCCTCCCTTATTTCTTTCTCACCCCTCCCACCCCCCCTACCTCCCTGTAGCGTGGCCGAGCCCAGTATAGCCGGCGGGTACAGGGAGCTTTTGTTTCCTGTACCCGGCCGGACTAACAGGAAGTGAACACTCAGTGTGCACTTCCTGTTAGTCCGGCCGGGTACAGGAGACAGCTGCTCTCTGTACCCGTCGGACCATGCTGCAGTGAGGGAGCTGACAGGAGCGCTCCCTCCTGTCAGCCCCTCTCCTCAGGCTGCGCCCGGGCGGTGCGGTCCGCCCTCATGGACGCACCGCCCGGGCAAAGCTGCAGCCGCCTGAGGCTCTATACAGAGCGCTCGGGCGGCTGCAGCATGGGGGGGGCGGGGGGCTGGCCATGGCACCCCCCACCCGGCTGGCACCCGGGGCGGACCGCCCCCCCTTAGTACGCCACTGGATCCCTCAGTTTTCAGCGCTCATTGTAATCTTCCCAAAGAGCCCAAAAAAGTTTTCTTTGTAATCTGTTCATGTTCATTTAATTGTTTTAAAAATGCTTTTATCTGATAATTTCACAATATTTGGCAGAATTATCCATTTCAGAAAACAACACCTGATTTAGGGGGGTAAAAAAAAAAAGGTGAAGTACAACATAACATTTTTCTGACAGAAAAAGTGACAGAAATGGCTAAATCTGTTGAGTTGTTGGAAAATGGCATACATTGAAAAATGACAGACAGCAAAGAAACAACAAATGAAAAAAAATCAAGAAATGTCTGAGTGTGCATGGGCTGGTAGTTTGTGCTCTCACTGTGCTCATGCCCTGGACAAACCCACTGGGATAATTCCTAGTGAACTGCAGTATCCAGGTTGCTCAGGCTACAGACTATGATGAGGATATACAATATCCCTGGAGGTGTCTGCAAGTGACCAAAGATTAGATGAAACCTTTTTCATGACATTCATTACACACAGCAATTGTCATTGGTGGCAGTGGAGTCTGTGTCTTTAAGGCATAAATAGATCTCTTTGAATGCACTGTCACACTATAGAGGTCATACTGATGAGGGATGCAGGTATATATGATGTCACACCTCAAACTCCAGCACCTTCTATCTGTCATACCTATATAATGCATGAATTGGGGTAAAAATGAAATTATGATCTTCAAATTAGAAAATACAAAATTGTATATATATATATATATATATATAATACACAAGATCCAGCGCACTCACCTATCCACTAAACAGCAACTTCAATGTTGAAAGATTTTATTTGTTTTTTTAAAAACACCTAATCTAGGCAAAAATAATGGGGTTTTTGTTACATTATATGATCATGCAGTGCATAAGCCTGCCACAACGTCAATGTACCCCATCTTTGGCAGGTCCTACACTAACAGCCTAATGTCTGCTCTTATGAGATTAACCTACTTGGGGAAAGAAATTCCATCTGGGGCTCTCTGCAGTACAAGGCTAAATAGGGCCCTGGGATGAGGCACCTGTGACAGGGAGGGGTGCAAAACCAAGGAGTTGGCTAGACTCCCAAATATATATAAAACAAGAGGGGGTTGGCTGCACTCACCTTAACATGCATAAATGGGGGTGCTGCTGGGGGCCAAATAATACCATACACAAGATCCAGCGCACTCACCTATCCACTAAACAGCAACTTCAATGTTGAAAGATTTTATTTGTTTTTTTAAAAACACCTAATCTAATCATTTATGCATGTTAAGGTGAGTGCAGCCAACCCCCTCTTGTTTTATATATATATATATATATATATATATATATATATATAATGCATGCTCCATTGAGTAAGACTATCCACAACCTTTGTTTATTTATATTTTCATTTTCTTTTGCAATAGTTCAATGAAGTGCCATTTAGTTAAAGGACCACTATAGGCACCCAGACCACTTCAGCTTAATGAAGTGGTCTGGGTGCCTGGTCCTGCTAAGTTTAACCCTTTTTTCTATAAACATAGCAGTTTCAAAGAAACTGCTGTTTATAAATGGGTTAATCCAGCCTCTAGTGGCTGTCTTATTGACAGCCGCTAGAGGGCTTCCGCGCTTCTCATTGTGATTTTCACAGTGAGAAGACGCCAGCGTCGATAGGAAAGCATTGTGAATGCTTTCCTATTGACTGACTGAATGCGCGCGCAGCTCCTGCTGCACATGCGCATTCAGCCGAAGAGGAGGTGGAGAGAAGGAGGAGAGCTCCCCACCCAGTGCTGGAGAAAGAGGTAAGTTTAACCCCTTCCTCCCCCTAGAGCCCGGCGGGAGGGGGACCCTGAGGGTGGGGGCACCCTCAGGGCATTATAGTGCCAGGAAAACGAGTATGTTTTCCTGGCACTATAGTGGTCCTTTAAAGTTTTGGAAGTGGTGTTAAATGCTATTTTATTTTGGATACATTATTTATTAGATTACATGTTTAGTTGCAAATTAATTGTCTGGATTCACTGAGATACTTTGACCTGATTACAAAGTGATCAGAAACAGCCGTACATGAATATTATTGCTCATTTTTTGGATTCCATTTTGGAATACATTAATTGCTCCTCATAAAATTGGAATTCCTAACCCCAAAAGGGGGGACCCTGAGGTGAGACAAAAACGTGTATATAATTTGATGAAAAAAAACAACAACAACAACTCTTTGTAATCCATTTTAAGAGTCAAATAAAATTTGCAATGGATTTCCATCTCCTTATAAAATAGCACTCTTGGGACAGAAATACTGGTTCTTCGCTACATCAGTAAGTATTAACGGTTTCTGTTACTTTTCTCTTTTTTTTTTCCTGCTTGATGTAAATCTGTTTGTAACATATATTGTATTTGTATGCACTGTACTATTTCTTGTCGATAATAAATGTTTCTGTTAATGGGCACCAAAACAATGCTTAAAAAAACAGTTTTGGTGTGTAGATCATGGTGTATAGATGCAATTTAGGATTTAAATCACTTTGTTTATACAGTCGCACCTTGCATGTGACTTACACAGCCTTCCTAAACACTTCCAATAAAGAGACCTCGACTGTCTTAACTTACTTTATTGCACATTCTGTTTAATCTAGAATTTAAAATCTCATGTTCTGTTAATAGCCTTTTAGACCCTGTAGAAACCTCATGTGTGTGATTAAAGTTCAATTTACAGAGTCTATTGTAGGGCCGGCTCTGTACAGGCCCTTATTTGCACAATAGGTTATTTCTTTTGACAGAAGTAATTTTTCTTCTAACCTATAATATTAAAACCAATTTAAGAAACCGAATTCTGATTTATTTATTTATATTTTTTAGCATCTCAATACACGTGATCAGTTCTTCTCACTAAAGCCCACTATTTTGCTGCCTCCACAATAAAAGCTAGCCGTGTCTTTCTAACTGTATCAGTCGTGCTTTGTTACTCCATGCTGGACGCTGCTGATAATAATACCAAATTATCTTTCATGTATAAAGGAAATTTTTGATTGAATACAACTCATTCCCAATAAAAAGGTGTTTCTAAAATCATGTCGCATACTATACATCCATTTAAGCAAGACCCCATCCCCTCTTGTTTCTGTTTTTAAAACATTTGTTTATTATGTTTCCTTTACCTCTTGTGCAGAGCTGCATAATATGTGTTCGGCTTTATAAATAAGAGCAATAACAATAATTAAAACCTAGTGTAAAATGTTGTACAGGTGGTAGTGTATACTTATCAAGATGTAAAAATATTTGCTAACTCCATCTTTATTGACTTTTTTTTTTTTACATTTGTCTAAAATTTTAGGGTTCACATACTAATCCTTATTTAACCAGTCCCTCCTGATCCCACTAAATACATGCACATCTTACTAGCAACTAGAACATGTATTGTTATAGCTTGAGAATGAATCTTCCAGGCATCAATGAATGGGTTATAAACAATGGGCAGGAAAAAGGGGGTCTGCTATGTTGGAGGGGGAGACTTGTATGATGTCATTTTTTGTTGTTATACATGTATAAGAAGATACAGTGTATTCAGAAAGCATTCAGACCCCAGAAGACCCCTTCATTTTTTCACATTTATTTTATGCTACAACTGTTTCAATAATGTTTTTTTTTTTGCATCAAATCAATCTACACTCAATACTCTGTAATGATATTGGCAAAACCAGAATTTTGACACCATTTCAAATACATGAACCTGAAATATCACGCTGACATAAGTATTCAGCCCCTTAGCTAAGTACTTAGTTGAAGCACCTTTCGCAGAGATCAAGTCTTTTTGGTCTGATGCGACAAGCTTTGTACACCTGTATTTGGTTAGTTTCTTCCATTCATACCTGCAGATCCCCTCGTGCTCCTTCAGGTTGGATGAGGACCATCGGTGGACAGCCTTATTTAAGTCTATTCAGAGATGTTCGATTGGGTTTATGTCAGGGTTCTGGCTGGGCCACTCAAGAGTATTCACAGTTTTCCCTAAGCCACACTAGAGAATCTTATTTCTCACAGGATGAGAGTAATTTAAGTGCTTTCCTCTTCTCCACCACCCCCCCAATTCCAAGTGGGTTTTTATGTGCTTTGCAGTGAGGAGAGGCCTCCAGCTGGCAAGTCTGCCTCTAAGGTCGGTGGTGTGTAACAGTGATGGTTGTCCTTCTGCATGTTTTCTCATCTCATACACGTTCTCTGTAGCTCACCCAGCTTGACCATCTGTTTCTTGGTCATCTCTCAT